AAATTGGTTCATACGCTTTATTTCTCAATGCCTTAACTCCATTAAGATCCAAGAATCGTACCAAATGATGGTAACTTCAAGGTCTGATGCTTACACTTAAACACGTAAAAACATAGACCAACAAACAAGTTGAAGATTCAACTAGGATCAAAAAGAGGGAATGAAAGGGAAATAAACTTCTCTGTAGCTAAAGCTGGACTTGCTAACAAGGAAAGATGACTTCCCTTTATTACTTTTAACATGCCCAGGCCTGCCCACCCCCCCCCAAACATCTCAGAAATTTTCTGTGTTCTGCCTTCCTGGCATATGCAAATAAGCTAAAACTCAATGCAATGTGTTAACCAATGGACGCACTATATGTGAAATTCTGTAACCAATAAGGTTGTTGGGCCCATATGTAAAAGGATTGAAACTTATAAACCCGCCCCTTCCCTAAATGTGTAACAACCTAGCTCTGGCTGAGTGTTTGTCAGTCTCTTTGTGGAGAAATCCCAGACTGACCCACCGGGGTTAAGAATAAAGCTGTACACTCTGTCTCCAGAAAAAAACCAATTGCATTTCCCTAATGATTAGTGATGTTAAGCATTTTAAAAATAAACTTATTGGCCATTTACACATCTTCTTTTAAGAAATGTCTACTAAGGTCCTTTGGCCATTTTTTAATCAAGTTGTTTATTTGCCATTACACTGAGTTCCTTATATATTATTTTTGCATATTCACCCTTTAATAGAAATATGCTTACAAATATCTTCTCTCAACCTGTAAAATGTCCGTTCTGTGGGCTATTTCCTTTATTATCCAAGGAAAAAGAATATCACTGCCCAGAATTTATTATCCCTGAAAAAAAAAAATCATTGCATTTTTTCTTATTTTCTTCAAGTATTTTTCATTTCAGACTTACAAGGTCCTTGGATCCATTTTAAATTGATTTTTGTATATGGGGAGAAAAAAGGGGCAATTTCATTCTTCTGCATTTTGACCTGCAGTGTTCTCAATACCCTTTATCAAAGAAACTGTCCTTTCCTCATTGTGTGTTCTTAGCATGTTTGTGGAAGTCAGCTGACTACAAATGTGTGGGGGCATGTTTGGGATCTCTGTTCTTTTCCACTGTTCAATGTCCCTATTTTTATGCCAATACCATATTATTTTAATTGACTTAGCTTAAAACTCCAGTACTTTAATGCCTCCTGCTTTGTTTTTCTTCATCAAGATTGTGGTTCCACATGAACTTTAGGATATTCTTTTTATTTCTGTGAAAAATGACATTGGAACCAGGTGTGGTGCCATAAGCCTGCAATTTCAGTACCTGAGAATCAGAGGTAGAAGAATGGTCATGAATTCAAGGTCAGCTTGAACTACATAGGAAGATCCTGTCTCAAAAGAAAAAAGGTACTGGAGTTTTGAGAGAGATCACATTTGAATCTGTAAATTGCTGTGGAACAATATACAATGGACATTTTTTTTTGGTACTGGGGATTGAACTCGGGTCCTTGCGCTTGCGAAGCAGGCGGCAAAACCACTGAGCTAAATCCCTGGCCCTACAATGGACATTTTTAACAAAATCAATTCTTCCAACCCATAAACAGTATTTTTCCACTTATGTCTTCTTTAACTTTATGAATGTTTTACAGTTTTCAGTATACAGATCTCTCACCACCTTTAATAGTGGGGTTTTGAGGGTTTTTTTCCTTCTTTAGCTATTATAAATGAGAATGTTTTCTTGATTTCTTTTTCAGATAGTTCATGTTAGTGTACAAAAACAGTATTTTTGTATGTTAATTCTGTATCCTGCAACATTACTGAATGCACTAGTTCTAATAATTTTTATGTAATCTTTAGTTTTCTATATACAACATGTCATCAGCAAACAGTGACAATTTTACTTCTTCCTTTACTATTTAGATGAATTTTATTTCTTTTTCTTCCTTAGGCCAGAACTTCCAGTACTGTTTTGAATAGATGTGGTGAGATTGAGCATCCTTGTCTGGATCCTTGTATCTTGTTTGGATAAAACATACACTCAGGAGCCAGGGATTTAGCTCAGTGGTTCCGCCACCTTCCTTGCAGGTGCAAGGTCCTGAGTTTGATCCCTGGTACCAAAAAACAAAACAAAACAAAACAAAAACAACCATACATACACTCAGGTGCAGCACTGCATGCCTACAATCTTGGCACTCAGGAGGCTGAGGTAGGAGAATCAAAATTTTTTTGGGGGGGGACCAGGGATCGAACTCGGGACCTTGCACTTTCGAGGCAGGCAGCAGAACCACTGAGCTAAATCCCCGGCAGGAGATCAAAATTTTAAGGCCAGCCTGGGCCACACAGTGAGGCTCTGTCTCAAAATCAAAACCATCCCCATGCCCCCCCAAAAACCCACAAAAATATATACATATACATTCTCTCTTCTGGTTTCTGCAAGTGATTGAAGTCCTAGCCAAACTAGTTTGGCAAAAATTCATTTACTGACATTTACATGGAAAGCTCACGGGTCCAGACCCTCACAAATAATCCTTATTAAGAAATTCAGTAAAACTTTCCATCATTGGAAAGCCAAAAAACATTATGGCACCCCTCAGAAGTGGCCGTGAAAATGAGATCATTCATCTCAAGAGTGCTAGAACCAGGGCTGGCCAGGTTTGAAAAGATAAGCTCCACAGGGCCAGGGATTTAGCTCAGTGGTTCCGCCGCCTGACTACCTCCCAAGCACAAGGTCCCAAGTTCATTCCCCAGTACCAATAAAAAAGAAAAGATAAGCGCCATCAAAAATCCTATGTGCCAAAAAAATAAAATAAATCCTATGTGCCAATACATATAGACAGAGACATGTCATGTATATTAAGCACAGAACTGAAAACAAGTTATATTAGTTTTCCAGTATGAATTTCCAATTTCCAATACTAAAAAGACACAAAGATAGATTCTCTGGTAGCACACACCTGTAATCCCAGGACTCTGGGAGAATGAGGCAGGAGGATTCCAAGTTCAAACTCATATGGGCAACTCAGCAACTTAGTCTCTCTCTTGAGATAGAAAATTTTTTTTAAAAAAAGAAGGGGCTAGAGATGTACCTCAATATAAAGACCCTAGGTTCATCTCATGGTACTTCAAAAAATAAATAAATAAAAGACAGGTTCTCTAAATTGTAGGTATCTCTGCTTCTCAGATGCACAACTCTACGTACCTTACTATAAGGTAAATAACACCTAGAATTCATTTAGTGACTGTTTCTCAACAAAACTACAGGAAATGCCAGGTAGTCATATGTAAAGGTTTTAAATCATCAAGCTAACAAGTGCTCAGGGCCTCAAAATATAAAAGTATCAACAAGTCATGCAAAACCCAATTCACACAGACAAATTTCTAGGTCAAAAGTTGATAGCCATAATAATACCAATTTTAAGAATAAGGTAGTTTTATGTATCCCAAACAAATGTTCCATTCCTTTAGTCATTCACAATCGTTAAGCGTCCATGAAAACTGAACTAGGAGAAGGTGCTAGTATCTGATCATTTTTACCTACAGAAAATGGTAATTTCATACGGCTCAATTTTTTTTTTTTTGGTACCCAGGCTCAAACTCAGGTCCTTGTGCTTGCGGGGCAGGCGGCAGAACCACTGAGCTAAATCCCCAGCCATATGGCTCAATTTTAAAACAAAACAGATACTTTCCTAGTTGCTAGGACATAACAGTGAAAAACTAAGCTCCTGGCTGTATGTAGAACTTACACACTTACATTCTTATTTCCAACTTGGGTGGGGAGACATAAGTAAGTAATCACTATGGTACATATACTTTAGGGGTTGAGAGCCATTCTATATAAATTTTGAGGAAAAATCATTTCATAATTGAAAGTATGACTATAGCTAAATCCCAATGTTGCCTTGCCCGAGAGCTGGCTATGCCATGTGGAAACAACTCTGTTTTGCCTCCAGTCACAGGTGAGGTCCTTGATGGTGCTTGATGCTATGGTGCTCAAGGGCAAGAAGACATCAGCTAAAGAAGATATCCTGGTTCTTTGACAACCAAGTAGTAATACAAAAAGAGAAAAGTTTCACCTGGGAGGAACAAATTCCTTATCAGCTTAACTCATCTCACTACTGTCCTGGGAATGCTTTCCTTTATACCCTCAACAGCATGAGATTTGCATCAATATGATATAGGATCACTGCGGCCTCCTAAGTCACCAGATACTCCCTCCAATTATTGTGTGTACCCAATAAATGATGGCTAGTATGGGCAGTCTTGGTCTTTGCCCACTCTAAGGCACTGACCTCCTGGACCCCATATACTTTGAAATTATGCATAACACAAAAGGTTAAGAGGGGTAGAAAATACTACAGAGGAATGGTTGTTGCTGTTTTATAGGGGTAGTCAGGGAAGGCCTCAGTGTTAAAACATTTGAGCAAAATTCTAAAGAAAGAGGGAGAAAGCTTCTTAGATTTTCCTACAATGGCACAATCTGGTTGCTGCCATAAATTGGAATATTATAACAAGTATAGCCCCAATTAAACCTGCAAATAATCAATCTATACCTGACAAGTATATGTCATCAAACCATCACTGGTTTTTACAATTCTCATTCTACATGCCACACAAGTTGCAAATATATAGTCTGCTAAATTTTGGAATTAAAATGTCCCCAGACCATGGCACTTTGGGAGCTGGACATCTTTTATGAGTTGGGGCCTAGTGGAAGTTAGGTTATTGGGGACATGCTAATACTGGAGCCCCAGCCTCTTTCACCTTTTGCTGCCACGAAGTGAGTAGCTTCCTTTACCACATGTTCCCACCATGATGTGTTGCCACCACAGGCCCAATAGGAATGTCACAACCATGTCTTAAAACCTCCAAGACTGGAAGCCAAAATAAACCCTTCCTCCTCGTAAATTTGATCTCAGGTAGTATTTTATCACTACCATTCTTTTAAAATCTGTATTTCCAATCTAATAAAGATCTATGTACCTAAGAGCACATATAAAGATAAGTAATTTATTCTCACATCTTTTGAAGAATCTGGGCCATCACAACCCCATTCGTTAAATCTTCCACAGTCTGGCATGGTGTATCCACATTAAATGTCTGGATCTGAAAGGAAAAAATGATTCTATGGTTAAATTATATAAAGATTTCTTAGGGTTTTATGTTTTTTGGTGATTATCTCATCTTGTGGATTGGAATAAAATTTTAAAAGGAAAACAACTGGAAACTTCTTGCCAGAAGTGATTACTGAAATGTCTGACAGAAAAACTGGTAAGACACCAGATGACTTCACACTATCCATTCTACTCAAGGATGATCTAAGAAAATTATGGTAACTTTAGCCCTTCTACCAGTAACCCACTCAGGGATAAACAGGGAAGAGACAATGTAGACAAAAGAGATACACCTAGATGGTTCTGAGAGAAAAAAGTCAATCTATTCACCCGAGTAAAGCTGTGTTCCCTCAATTGCTACAAACAGTCATCTTATGACTACTATGGGATTAGGCATTCTGATCAGGTCCAGGTAATAAAAGGCAGAGGGAAGAGACAAAACTTAAGTCCTTGAGGTAAAAATTGAACCACTGAATTTAAAAAAACTTGAAGTCTCCTATTGTGTGAGATATATTTCTATATTGTTTAAGCCTAGACAGGTTGAGATTTGTCACTCAGAGCCAAAAACCATTAATTATAAAGATGTAGAAGTCATATTTACCATGGTTAGGCTGAATATTCAAATTCATTTTGTTTTCAAATATATCCTAAATCAGAACTAACCTTTTGTCAATATAATATGGCTGAGAAATGTAAGAAAATGCAGCTGAGCCAACAATGATTATTCTCCAGTAGTTCAATCTGGATTTAGAAGGAAATAAATTACTAAGGACACAGGCTGACCTCTTATGGATAGACCTTATAGTTTAGCCAAACAGTATTATAGCAACAGCAATCACAAAGATTACAAGTGAGAATGTGATACAATCTAGAAATAAGCAGTATCCTGTCTGGTATGGTTGGTGGGTGGTGAGACTTAAAAGGAGAGAAAGGACAGGGAGAAAAGTAAAATGGTGAAAAGACAGGACTAACACAAGGGATTTTAAGCAGGAAAGTGAGGTTATGAGATCTGAACTGCATAAAGATTATACTGGCTGCAATACGGAGGCAAAGACAGGGAAACCTGTTTTAGCAGGTCCATATATTAACACAGATGAGTCTAAAATAGGTTGCGACAATGGAACTTTGATCAAAGTTTGTGGGAATTACACTCAGGCGACCATCTATCTTATTTATTGGGTTGGGGTAAAGAAAGGCATTGCTCTGTCAAAGTGTATGCACATTTTCTAATTTTTGATAAATATCGCCAAACTTCCCTTACATTCATACTGTCCTCATAATTCACATAGTAGTCTTATGGGTAATGATGGTTATGGTGGCAGAGGCCAAGGGAATTATCTTAAAGATCTTCATATTCAAGTTTGGTGGTGCATGCCTGTAATCTTAGCTACTCAGGGGTGTTGGCAGAAGGACCTAAAATTTGAGGCCAGCCTAAACAACTTTTAGACATTGTCTCAAAATAAAAAGGGCTGGGGATGTAGCCAGTGGTAAAGCATTCCTGGGCTCACTCTCCAGTACCACAAAAAAGAAAAAAAAAAAAAATCCTCATAGAGGATAGCTTTTACTTAGGTAAATATTTCGGGAGAGGTGCTAAGAAACATCTCAACCTATACAAGTATAGGTCCAATAAAAAAATTAATAGATGGGCCCGGGATTTAGCTCAGTGGTTCCACCACCTGCCACACAAGCACAAGGTCCCAAGTTCGATCCCCGGTACCAAAAAACAACAACAACAACAACAACAATTAATAGAAAATCCAGGCATGGTGGCATACATCTTTAAATTCCAGTACCTGGGAAGCTTGAGGTTGAGGCCAGCCTGGACAACTTAGCAAGAACTCATCTCAAAAGAAAAAGAATAGATGAATAAATGGAATAAACATCATCTGCAGGAACTGATTTGGGATTTTACTCTATACTATCTGCAGCTGCCTCCTCATAATTTTACAAGAAATATACAACACAGGCCAGGGATTTAGGTCAGCGGTGCTATGCTTGCCCCACAAGTGGAAGGTCCTGAGTTTGATACCTGGTACAAAAAAAAAAAAAGGAAGAAAGAAAAGAAAAAGAAATATACACCTGCTTTCATTTTACAGCTGCTAAATTAATAGCCCCTTATAAAAAATATCATTCCTTTACAGATTTGGCTAGAAGGAAAAAGAGGCATCAGTGAGGGCCTCATCTCATTTCCTCTTCATCACTAACCTTGCCCCAATGCACCAGACTGAATAAGCCCCAGTGAATATTGCCGTGAAGGTAACGCATTTCGAATCCCCAGCCTTGTAATTTGCGATCACAGATATCTCACCTCATGTCATTGGGGGAGGGTGTATGTATGTGTGTAACTGAACAGAGAGCTTTAGCACTGAGCTACATCTAGCCCTTTACTTTTGAGAGGGTCTCTATAAGTCACTAAGTTGCCCTGGCTGGGCCTGAACCTGTGATTCTCCTACTTCAGTTTCCCAGAGTGCTGGGATTACAGGCATGTATTATCATAACCTCACCTCTCTTAATATTAACTTTTCTGTGTAAATACTGGAGAAAGATACCTTATGAAAGGGTGAATGAGGAAACAACTGTACATTCATTATTATTAATAATACATTTTTTTTTAGCTCCACCTACTGAATAAGAATCTCTGCACATGGGTGCATCGGGAGCTGGAGAACTATTTTTTTGTTTTGTTTAGAAGGTCTCACTACGCAGTTCTGCCTGGCCTCGAACTCACAGCAATCCACCTGCCTCCCAAGTACTGGGACTACAAGGGTGAGGCATCACGCCTGACTGGAAAGCTACACTTTTTTTGGTACCAGGGATCGAACTCGGGTCCTTGCGCTTGCGCAGCAGGCAGCGAAACCACTGAGCTAAATCCCTGGCCCTGGAAATCTATTCTTAACAAGCTCCTCAAATAATTCTTTTGTAGCTGGGTACTGGTTTAGCATTTGGAATCTTCTCATCCAAAGCACTATCAAAAGTAACGATTTGAAGATTATCATCCTCTGCCCCTAAAGTGCTGCAGATGGAACCCAGGCCATTGTGCTCTAGCTCAACTACAGAGCTACATCCCCACTAGGAGGTAAGATTAGAAACTGCCTCTGGCCAATTAGAAGAAACGATTCAATAAAGTAATTTTAAGGGTAATTTAGTTCTAAGACTAGATCTGTTTTTCTCTTAGCACTCATAGAAAGCTAAATTTTTATTTCTGATTTTAACATGTGCTTCCAACCAAATTTTTTTTTTTTTGTATTAGCCCTTGAGGTACATAGTTATTCAAGATATTCACCTCTGCTTTAAGAAGAGTGTGAAGCAGATTTCCACATGGATTTTCTGTTTTGGGCATAATGAAAATGTTATTGTAACTAGATAGCGGTGATTATAGCACAACATATGACTTTACTAAAAACCAAAGAATTGTACACTTTAAAAGAATGAAGTTTATGGCACATAAATTATCTCAATTTCAAAAATATCTATTACCAATTCACTGAGCTATCACCTATCTATTGGGCATTTCAGGAAAAAGCAGTACAATAAAATTCAAAGATATCTGCACTTAACCTTGTTAGGGAACACAATTCTCCCTGAAGGGTCACAACCTTTCTTGTAATTCCAAGAAGTTTTATGACTAGCACCCAACTTTTGGTTCCCTTTTCTCAAAAAAGCATGCGGAGTAATCAAGAGAACTCCAGGAATTAGCAAGTCCAGAGCAGTGGTTCTCAACCAGGGTGATTTTGGTCCTTAGTAGATAATTTTGGCTGTGGGAGTTAGACAGATGCTATTAACATTTACTATGTAGAAGTAAGCTATGTTACTATTTATTAAATGTTCTACAATATATAGTATAGAGCTCACAACAGATAATTACCCAGCCCAAAATAAAAACCCTGCTCTGGAGCACTGGTTCTCCAAATGTGGTCCCCAGGTCACATCACCTGAAAACTTAATAGAAAAGCAAAATCTCAGGCCCTATCTCAAACCTAAGAAATTAGAAACTCTGGCCTGAGGAAAGCATTTCATGTTTTAAGCAAAGCTGATGCTTGTAGGCAAATGTATGAGACCCACTGCCAGAGTTAACAACCTTAGTGTCAAATACAAATGCGTTTCAAACAAAGAAGTGTAGTCTAAAAATCAGTAACTGAACCCAGGTAGACCAAGCTTAGAAGCTGTACTCTGAACCATCATGCTATACTGACACTCTCTTGATCTAAGGTTTTTCAAATCTCTGCACATGAGAGACTTCTCTGTTCTTCCACTAGAAAATCAGCTATTGGCAGGATGGAGTTAGGCGGAGGTGAGAGAATAGCATGGGAAGATAGTGCCATAATAATTATGTCCTCCTTAATTCTACATATTAGCATGCATTTTATATGCTCCCAAATAAGTACTACGAAAGTAATTAGGGTATGTTAAGGTTGCTGGTTTTCCCGTAAGTATACTAAGCCTATACGATCATGCTTTTTCCCCTTGGCTTCTTGTCATGAACTGGTAGCATTCTAGATTCTTGTTTTTCAGTTTCTGAAACCTGGTTAAGGCTTGGCTGGGCATTTAGCTCAGTGGTAGGGCTCAGCATATACAAGTCCCTGAGTTCAATCCTCAGCATTGCAAAATAATAAAGAAAATAAACTCTGGGAAAGTGTAATTTTTTTCATCAAGATTCAGGTATAATTCAAAAATTAGGTTCAACAAGTTTAACAGGCAGGATAGACTTTTCCTAACAAGTAGAAATACATTCTGACCCAGAGGGTGGGAGCAGAAGTACAGTGGAAACATTTAAGCACATCAGGCTGAACCAGCTTACTGCATACACTGAGAATTGAAGCTTGAGATGTATTCCATTTGTAGGATTACTTTGTCTATTTCTAAGTACTCCTCTTTCAACAAAAACCTGAAATAACCACATTTCAAGCTCTCTGATAACAATGGCAATTTATCTAACATTATTTGGGGCAACCAGATTCAGTTCCAGAGTACTGGATTCTACATAAGAGTCATACATTTTCTTCACCTAAGCATTTATTATTTTAGCCATTTCCAGTAGAAGAATGTCTAAAATGTATTATACACATATCTCCTGTCCCAAATTGAATGTTGTGCACTGAAAATACTTTTATTTCCTCCTCAGGATCTTAAGTATGAAACTAACTTAACACTGAGGCTCCAGAAACACAAGACAGCTGGCAGCCCAAAGACTGAGTCACCCAGGCTGAACTTTACTTCATGGGTCTTCTCTGTCATTGACAGCTGCCTGTATTTTGCAGAGTGCTGCAGACACCTTCTAGCCTACCATATGCTAAAAAAAAAAAAATCCACACAACCAAGCTGAATAAAAATTTGCTTAAAATACAGCAAATTATTCTAAATGAGTCTTTACTTTGGAGTACACTGTATACATTTCCCCTTACATTTGGCTTTGGAATTGTGCTCAGCATTTATCTGGCCTTCACACAGAAGGAGTGCTACTAGACTAAAATGTGCATGTTCAGCTACCTCAAATACTGTTCATGCAAATATTTATTCTTTTAATGACAGCCAAAAGAGAAAAAAACAGCACTTAAAGTCACCTTTATTTTCAAACATTTCAAAGAACAGTGTTTTGAAATGTTTCCAAATTTGGGAATTGTACATCATTTTATGGAACCTCTCCTCCATTTTTTTCAATAACCTCTCATCTCCAGAAATTTTCTTTGCTAAGGCTTCCAGTGATTATTTCAGAAAATCTATAAGACTATACTCCTGGGGCTGGGGATTTAGCTCAGTGGTTTCGCCGCCTGTTTCACAAGCGCAAGGACCCGAGTTTGATCCCCAGTACCAAAAAAAAAAAAGACCACACTTCCTGCCCTTTGCAGTTGACAATGAATGTTGATTATCTATCCTTGTATGTGGATATTGCATTTGGTTCTAAATAGATTCTCTGAGGGCCAGAGATTTAGCTCAGTGGTCCCAGCACCTGCCTCGCAAGCGGAAGGACCTGAGTTCGATCCCCGGTACCAAAAAAAAAAAAAATAGATTCTCTGAAATCCTATGGTTTTCTGTGATAAGCCCTTTAAAGTTGCCTCTATAATTTTTCAGCATACTTACTCAAATTACTGCACCATCACCATTTTGCAGCTGCTCATCAAATACATCCCTATTTCTGTGACTTTTTCTTCTAGACTTTAAACAATGCAACACCACTTCAGATTCAGCAGTCATCTTTGCCTTCTTTCTCCTTGTTTCTAGCATTGAGCAAGGCACTACTTGTACAGACCCAACAATGCAACTCTGAAGATCCTCAGCTTTCTGTTTACAACTTCTTCCAAATCTTCTCCTTCTACAAAATCCAAAAAAGTACCCCCGGCCTAGTCAAACCTTGAATCATCTCTTCTGAAACACAGCTTCTATCCCCTTGCCTTAAGTTAGAACCTATTAAAGTTGTTTGCCAGCTATGTATAATTGTGAACAGTCTGAAATCCCAAGAATGGTCTAATATAAAGCTTATCAAACATATCAAGCTCTACCATCATATATATTCTATGTTTCAAGGGACATAATTTGATTTACAACATGGCAATACTGTAAAAGCCTCAAGACTTTTTAAAAAAAATTACTTGTGTTACAATCAACCAAAAGTGATGCTTCTCAAACCTTTCTACCAAAGTGCACCTGCCGGGAGGGGAGAGTGAGGTGAACCTGTAACCAGAGATGTAACCCGAGGCACTACTAAACAGAATTTGACATTTATGTTTTTACATTTAAAGTATGAGAGGTGGTGGGGGGTGAGCTCAGTGGTTGAGAAAATGCTTTAATGGGCCATAAGGCTGTGTCCAATCTCCAGCCCCCAAAAGATTCTTCCAGAAGGGGAATTTATTTAAATTTTAGCAATAGGTAAAAGAGCACTTAGTTTAAACCCATGGTTCTGCCTACTCTGCATCCCCCACCCCAAGACCCAACCAGAGTTTGTAAAATACACAAGCCTGGGTTTGTGGTCCAGCTCTTGAAGGGGCTACTTAAAGCACTACTGCTGACATTAAAATCCAACGCAGCTTTATTTGAAAATGTTAGAACCTGCCCGGCGTGATGGCGTATGCCTGTAATCCCAGCCCTGTAATCCTACCACTTGGGAGCCCCAGGCAGGAGAGGAGGATCGCTGTGAGTTCGAGGCCAGCCTGGGGTACATAGTGAGACCCTGTCTCAAAAACAAAAAACAAAACAAAACAAAAAATAAAATAAAATGTTAGAACCTGAACAACTGTGTAATAATTTCAAATCAGAATTCTGAAAATGTTGCTCCAAGATATCTTGGAGTGGCATTACTGATTTTCCCAATACCTTTCAGTCTTACTTAATGTTTATCTTTGACGTCTTTTATAAGTATTTTCACACTGCATAATTTCTAATAGCCAAAATCCATCTTGCATTTTAAATACCCTGCCCCGTGGCGCCTCTTCATATTTTTCCAACCCCTCCCGCCATTTAAAGTACATCTCTTTTCTATCCCGCAAAGGACTACGCTCCATCATCCTTGGAGGACGTTACAACAAAGACGAGGAGCGTTACCAGGGGTCCCAACTGCCTCTACTGGCCGCGTCGGGGTGCAGGGGAAATAATGCTTTGGTGTCCCTGGAAGCTCAAGGGAAGCACCAGCGCCTCACCAGCGGCAAACAACGATTACAGTGTCGCCTGCACCCCATCATTAGCCTTAACCGGGCCGGTTTCCAGTGCGGAACAGCCAACCCCTTACGCCCAGCAAGTTTCGCCCAGCGGAACAGCCAACCCCTTACGCCCGCGCCTCCCCAAATTCTTGCGCCGCTCGCTGCCGCGGCCCGGCCTGACCGCGGTGTAGACACGGACCGTACTGGGTCCTCCGCTGAGCCCGGCCCAAGTCCCCTGGAAGGCCCCGGATGTGAGGGCCTCGTCGCCAGGGGCGATCGCCCAAGGACGAGGCTGGGGTACCCCGAAGCGCGGCCTGGGGGAATGGGTGGCCTCGCCCGCCGGTCACCACGTACCCAAGTCAGGAGGCTCTCGCACAGCTCCATCCGCTCCACCGACTCTACGTTGAACATCTTCCTGCGCTGGGGCCTGAGCGCCGTCCCGCCAGGCGGAAACACCGCCGCGCGGCCTGGGGTAGGTGGCAGGCTTTGACGCCGAGCTGGCTCGGAGCCCACCTGCTCCTCCGCCCGCCTCCTCCTCGCCGGCCGCAACTCCCGTACCTTCACCCTCACCCAGTCCCCTGCCTCCAGCGCTCGGGGAGCGCGCTAGGCCACGCCTGCTGCTGCGTCCCGCCCCGACCGCCCACACCAGCTCTGGGAGCGCAACCCCGCCGAGAGGTAAGCCGGCCTACGAGCTTCTGCGCACAGCGCGCCCAGACCCGGCGGCTGCGTCTCCGCCGCGCACGCGCACGTCTGAAATCGGCCCTTCAGCCCCTTCCGCACGCCGGCCGCTCGCGCTGAGCAGAAGCGGCGCGATGCGCGTGCGCCTGCGCGGCAGTCCAAATCGAAATAGAGCTGGCGGTGGCCGACCCTGGAGATAATCGCTGTTCTAGGTCACCCTGAGTTGGGAGGTGTCCTCTGCGTTGTAGAGGTATGCGCCCCCGCACCCGCCTCCGCCTGGTCCGTAGCGCGGCCCCCGGAAGGCGCGGAGGGGTCTGGCGTGGGCGAGGCGGCCGGGTCCCTGGGGACCGCCTGGGGCTCTCGGGACGGGGCCGCCACTGGGACCCAGTGCTCGGGCTCCAGACCCAGAGTCTGGGGTGCACCTGCGGGTCCCCCGCGACGGCGGAGGGCCAAGGCCGCGGCGCCACGGGCAACCCAGTCCCTTCTAGGGACGCTTGGAGCCTCGCCACTCTGGAAACTTCACTTGGTGTTACTGTGGCACGTGTGCCGCAGCGGGCTGTTTGTTATCATTGAAAACTCTCAAAGGTTCGCCTACTCAGAGACGCCAGTTCTTCAGCCCGTAAGGACCTCAGCGGGTCTTAGGGCCTGTTTCTCCTAGTGTTCAGAGTTGGTTTGCTTTAATAGTAAGGTGAATCATGATGTAGCTGTCACCTTTATAGAGGCACCAATCTCTGCAGGATTACTAATACATTTTAAAGCGGTATAGCAAATTCAGTGAAAGTGTAAACCACATACATATTTAAAGATGTAAAACAACCAGATAAAACTGGAAAGAGCACTTCCGGCTCCCCAGAAATTCCCCCACCCTGAGCGAAATTCCTTCCCTAGCCTGAATTTTGTGATAATCACTTTTTTGCCTTCTTTACAGCTTTACCGCGTACTGTATATATGTATGCAGTGTAGTGGGGATGCCTGGTTTTGAATTGGAAACATTGTGGTATTTTGTAGCTTCCAATTAATATGAAATTTATGTATGTGTATAGATAATTTTTATTATGGTCTGGTATTGTGTGAATACAGCAGTGTGTGCATTCTACTGTTGATGTGTATTTGTTACAATTTAGGACCGCTCAGAACAATGTAAACATTCTTGTACCTGGACCCTAATGCAAAGGTGCTGGAATTTACAAAATATGAATATGAACTGTGGATTCATAGATTATGCACAGCTACCAGATAATGCCAAACCTTTACTTGCAGGGCTGCAGAGTGAACTTCCTAGGAAACACCTTCACTGTTTTTCAGTTCTCTGGAGCCCTGTTACTTCCCATTAAGAGTAGATTTTCTCATTGAAGAGTGGGAAATACTCAGAATTTGGAGTATTTTAAATTTATATATGTATTTATTTATGATACTGGGAGTTGAATCCAAGGTTTACATCCCCAACTCTTTGTTTTGTTTTTGTTGTTGTTGTTTGGGCTGTTGTTTTAAGACAGGATCTTGCTGAGTTTCCCAGGCTGGCCTCAAACTTTCTGTCTTCCTACCTCAGCCTCCCAGAGAGCTGGAAACACGCATTTCAACCGTGCTTCACAGAGTATCAATCAAGAGCTCACACATGATGATTGGTTATTTATGAATGTGAAAAACCTTACCTGCAGTGTTCTCAATGGTCTTCCTGCAAACATGCTTCTTTACCTTGAGGCCCAAAACACCTTTAGAATTTGTAAATATGAATCCTCTGTTGGGTGCCTCTGGGTCTTTGCCAAACCAGAGTTCCTACAACCCATACTAAGTGATTTCTATAGAATTCCTGTCACTTTGAGTGACTATACCCTTATTAGAGAAGTTACAGCATCTGTATGTATTACATTGACTTCAGCCTGACTAATCTGTAGCTTTTACTTGGATATCTAGACCTTAGTTGCTAGCCATTGGTGGAAGGACTGGTGTAGTAAACACCTTTACTCCAATTGCTCAGGTTTTCAAGGCTCTAACACAAAGCTTCCTTTTTCCAAGCCTGGTTGCAGATCCACACAGTGCTTTTGTCATGATGTTGCAGAATTCTTCAGGTATGATTTTTGTAACTACAGTTAGCCTCCATGAAGGAAATTTTATTAAGTTTCTCAAGCCCAGCAATGTGGCACATTCCTGTAATCATAACACTTGGGGAGACAACAGGATCACAAGTTTGAGCCCAGTTTGGGCAAGACCCTTGCCCCCGCGAAAAGGTTGGGGATGTAGCTCAGTGCTAAGGTCCTGGGTTCAATCCACAGTACTGCCCAAAACAAAACAAAAAACAACCCTAGAGTCTTTTTACGGAGGCTCTTGTAGAAATTTGATTGCCAAGGGCTTCTACAGATAATTCCTTTCATTCCAGAACCTTTTCTTTTTTCTTTTGCAGTATTAAAAACTGAACCCAGGGCCTTTGAACTGACCTACATCCCCAAGCTATTTTTTTATACTCTTTTTGAGCAAAGGAATATATTTTCTTTTTCTCACATTTTTTTATCCATGGATATTGGTTATGCAGACTGACAGGTTTCATTTTGGTAGATTTGTGCACCCATATAAATATACTTAAATCATTCCCGCCATCACTCCCCTTACCCTACTCTCCTCACCTGGGTTCATATTTTGGGGGGGCTCAGTGTGTATAATGTATTTTGATTATATTTATTGCCCCCATTACTGATCCTTACAACACCCCCCTTTCTATATTCCCTTCCTTTTGTCTAGTAATAGTTTCCTTTTTACTTTCTTGTCATCTTTTTCAAACCCCACATATTAGGGAGAACAAATAATATTTGTCTTTGTGAGTCTTTAACATGATGAACCCTGGATCCATCCATTTTCTGCACTTGCCAAAATTTCTTTTTTTTTTCCTTAAATTCTTTAATTGGCACATTTTAGGTATACAGTACATTTACATTTATCATTGGGAACTTGTACCTTTGCATGATGTATCTTGGTTCTTATTTTTTCCCCATTCCCTGCACTCCCTTCACCCCCTCCACTCTTCCCTATTTATAAAGACTTTGTTTCCTTTTTTTCTATTTCTCATAATTTTTCCTTTTCCTTCTTTCCTTTCCCCTACCCCTCCCACTTCCACTACCCCTTTGGACCTTTTCTTCCTATTTTGCATTATCAGTTACTCATTTTAATCATTGGTACATTTTAGGTATACAATATAATGACATTCATCATTGGAAATTTTCACCTTTCCATAATCTCTCTTGGTTCTTATTTTTTTTGTTTGTTTGTTTTTGGTACCAGGGATAGAACTTGGGACCTTGTGCTTGCAAGGCAGGCACCAGCACCACTGAGCTAAATCCCTGGCCCTCTCTTGGTTCTTATTTTTCCCCCTTCCCCTCCCCTCCTTTTAACCCCTCCATTCCTCCCTATTTACAAAGACTTTGTTTCCATTTTTTCTTTTTCTCATATTAATTCCATTCCCTTCTTTCCTTTCCTCTACCCCTCCAATTTCCCCTTCCCCTTTGCCCCTTTTCTTCCTATTTCACATAATTTATTATACCTTTTAGTCCTTATTTACACTTTCAGTTTCTCGCACTAGAGAAACTATTTGGTATTTATACATGTGTGTCCTATTTATTTCAC